GAAAAGTAGGGACCTATTGTTTCTACTCTGGGAGTCATGTGACGTCGAAAAACTATGAAAATAGTTATTCATCGGATGGATCCTATTATTTACAAAATTTCCTTTGCTTACGTTCGGAAAGTAAAAAAATATCAATGCATGATTATTTCTCAAAAATATTAAAAATCCAGAAAGAGCTGTCAGTATTTGTAGTAATAAACAATTAGAAATTTCCAAAAAATTGAAAAAAAATAGAAATAAATATTTGCTGTGATTCCTACGTTTTACTTTATTTTCCCTGTGCCTCCACCAAAATGACTAAAATTCAAATAGTATCCACCATTAATTTAGGTGAATTTGAATGCTACTTTAAGGTTTTCTCGACGTTTCATGGCCCTTGGCGTATGAAAGATAGGTTCACCGTTTCTGTCTGCCTGTCTGTAGTTTGTCTACTAATACAGGCTAGTACATCCTAAGATAAGACTGATTTTGGCAGATGACATACCCTCTAAGAAAATAAAGGGAGGGTGGGAGGGGGTAGTAATTGTGAAGATAAGACTGATTTTGATAAATGATATACCTTTTAAGAAAATAAAGGAGGGGTGAGTATTTGTATCAATTAGTTCGTGTTGGGTTTTCGTAAAGTGAAGTTTTAAAATTGTTTATCACCTAGTATTTTGTGCCATTTTGAAGAATACCCAAAGTCAAATTGTCTTTAAGAGAGAAGTTAAAGGAATTGTTCATCCTCTTTGGGTGGGTGGGTCGAGTTCTTGTAAAGATAAGGCTGATTTTGCAAAATCATATACCTCTTAAGAAAACAAACTACTACTTATTATTACAAACTTGTAAAGATAAAGCTGATTTTGGAAAATCATATACCCTTTAAGAAAATAGAGGGCGGGTGGGCTGGGTTTGTATTTGCTAAGATAACACTGATTTTGGCAAAGGATATACAGTCTAAGAAAATAGAGGGGGGTGGGCGGGGCTGTAATTTGCTAAGATAAGACTGAACAATGGCAAGAGTAGTCACTAGAATGAAGAAATGGTGTAGAAAAAACTAAACCCAGCCTCCCTTCATCTCTTTTCTCCATTTCACTGACTTATTTTGTTTACTATAAAATGGAAATTGAATTCTGTTTTGAAAAACGGGTGGACCTAATTATGTTGTTGTGTCGAGTGTGAATGAAAACTAATTATATAGAATCGAGGATGTGAAAAAGTAAAAAAAAGGGCTAATCGTAATTTTTTTTGTTAAAATCAGTCTTATCTTAGCAAGTCTACCCACCGGCCCTCTATTTGCTTGGAAGGTATATCATTTGCCAAAATCAGTCTTACCTTAGCAAGTACTAGCACCCCCTACCCACCCTCTTCTCATTCTAACTACTAATTTTGTTTCTGTTCAGTATAAGATCCTTCATTTCATTCAGTTTGGATAAAATCAATCACTGAAAAGGAGACAGGGTGGGTGGGCGGGGCTAATTATGTTCTTCCGTCGAGTGGGAATGGAAACTAATAATAGAATCTAGAATGTAAAAAAGTAGAAAAAATGCGCTAATCGTATATCTTAGCAATGCAGTGCAAAGTACTTGGTTATTGCTTGGAACAGGGGGCTATCATGTCGAATATTTGTTATAAAATTTAGTTATTGTTTTATAAAATTTTTGTCGTGTTTATGGTTTTGTTTATTGTTGAACATGTGCATAACACGCTGTAGTTTCAGTGAAAAAGTTATGCTTTGCTGAAACGATTTATTTTGTTTTGGCAACCAACAATGTTTCTGTGTTAAAAAAATGTCCGGTATAATTTTAGGTTATAAAAAGAAATGTAACAAAAATATACCGATATGCAGTCTAACAGTGTGAATTAAATTTGTTTTAAAACAAACACTCACTTATTTTATATACTTATTTAGTTTATAGTTTTTTTGTTTTATTTAAATGAACATACACAGAGTGATTTAATAAGGATGTGCTCATACCCAAGTATGGCTCTTTGAGCAGAATAAACTAATAACTATTCTCAACGATACAATATTCTGTTTTCGAGGAGTGACATAGAACTCAGTTCTTATAAACAGAATCTTCATGTATTTTTACATGTTCTAATAAGTACATATCTTCTTATACTTTAAAAACGTATTTTATTTTTGAAATTTTGATGCGATGTGGCAACATCACCGTAATTACTAATTAGGCATAATTGATTAGTTCAGTTTCTTTGAATTTTTATTTCCCGAGCGTAAGCTAAAGAAGTATAGTAATCGAGTCTATCGGACGACAGTACGACAAAAGTAGTCTCCCATTTCCGTCCCATGTCTGTCTGTCTGTTTGTCGTAACCTCCGAAACTGTTGCACAGATTGTTATCAAATTTTTTATGTATATTAGAAATGATTAATGCAACGGTTTAGAAAAATAATGTCACTGTATAGATAGATAAATGAATGTGTAAGCTTTATCGTAGTATCAATGAAAATAAATCTTAGTATATAGAGTGTTAAGGAAAAAAAACTTTTTCAAATTCTAATTTCTAAATATTTAGTTTCAGTTTTTTCAACTGGAACACCATGTGCTTAAATATAAAAAAAATAGAATAACGAATATGATTATTTGAAAAAATTTAGAACATTTTTATGGGCACAACATAACGCATACTTTTGTTTATAGGAATATTGCAAAAAAGACATCAAAAATATTTCTACTGCGATTTTTTTTGTGAATATTATATTTTGCCTTTTTGTTTTAATACGTGTAGACTTCTTTTCCCAAATGAAACTTCAAAGATGTTTAAAATGGAAAACTTAAGAAAGAAATATCGATTTTGCAATCAGGCTCCGCCCCATCATACCATTTTAACCACATTCAAAGTTTCTTGTTGTGAAAAGATGGCTATGTATATTAAAAAAAGATACAACTTTAAACATGTTTTAAGTTTCTTGTTGTGAAAAGATGACTACACATATTAAGAAAAAAAAAAAGGCAAAATGTAAGCCCGCCCATCCACCCGATCTCAATTGTGATGATTTTTTTTATTCGCCGTGAGCCAAGGGGGCGGAGCTTAATTACAGAATCCTTATTTCTATGAGAGAAATGAAAAACATGTTTTTAAGTATCGCGTTGTTCAAAGAATAGAGGTGGAAACCTGATTTGAAGACTCAACCAATACCAAATCTTGCTTGTACGAAAAAATAAAGGGAAAACACCAAGGATAGCACTTTTTGGACTCTTGGGAAGATAGCTTTTGAGAGCCAAGACAGAGTAGTCCTCCCAAAATCTAGGATTAATACTTGAACTGGTAGAAACCTGAACTAAACACCCAACTAATACCATAAATTGGTATAACTTCGCCAGTAGTGTCGGACTTTCAAAAATAAAAATATGCTTTTGATGCCTAATGAGAAGCCAGAGGATATAAAAATATGTATGAAATTCCAATAAAACCTAAGCTCTATATGACAAGGTCTATATCACAACACCTGAAAATATTTTTAATTTATGCAACTCAAAAAACAATTATTGTCAGTTTTTCCATCTCTAATAATTAACAAGATATCGAAGAGCATAATTTTATTAAATCACCCTCTCATATCTCATTAATTATTAGAATAAAAAAAAGTCAAAGATCAAAGTTAGACGGTTCTTTGGGGACTATACTATAAAATTATTTTTACACACAACTTAGTTTTTTAAATAAAATATCCTGTATATCTTCACAAATTATTGATCTGTTCTTAGGGTTAACAACCACAGTTTATTTTTCAATTACGATGCAACGTTGCCACGTTATTTCAATTTTCTTGAAATTTTTTAGCAGGCTTCACAAAAAATCACAGTAGGGTTATTTTTAAACTCTATTTTACAAAATTTTGTGGAGAGATAAAGGAATGTAGAAAGTGTTTTGCTGTGGTATCAACTAAATCATATTTTGATATACAGAGTGTTTATAAAAAATCCAAAATTTTACAATTAACAAATATCGATATTTCAATTGTTTTCAAATGAAACACCTGTATTTTATTACTGCATATTATTCTATTTTTTGTTCTCTTTCTTTTTTGTTAAGTGTTTTTCATGTTTAAACTTACTGTGATTTTTCATTTTTTAAGAGACACATTGACATCTTGGAAGAATGAGGGCAAAAAATGGAGTAAGATGCAGTAATTGTTACACATATTCAGCTAGGTGTTGAAGCCGTTATAACTTTGACTTTAAATATCCAGAAAACTTCAAATTTGTTCTTAAAATGTAAAGCGAGTGAAGAAAGTGCAGTGTACTAAAACTAGAACGAATATGACCAATTGTATCTGGCGCATCATTTTTGAAACTATCGAACCGATTACTTTGATTGCTATTCTTTCAGGGAGGCATACAATTTTACAGTTTATATTATTTTTGGCAAAGCACTATAAGACTACTTGGAAGGTTACAGAAAATAAACTAAAATTTTTTATTCACTTAGAAAGTTACCGTCGTGGCTGAGATGCGGTACTTCTTGTACTTAATAATATTTTATATGTTTTTTTAAATGTGTGTACCATATGAATAAAAAAAAGTATGAAATATATCGATTTATTTTCTTATCTATTTAATTCTGAAAAAGTTTATATGTTCAGATTTTGTCACAAAAATCTCATTTTTTACCCTAACATCTTACTTTTAATTATTAACTTCACTAAAAATATGTATACGACATCACAGCTCAAGATACTGACCGACGCAACGTACAAGCAAATAAAAAAAAATGTTTTCCCAAAATATTATTAATTTTTTAATAATTTTATTTATTCTCTAACACAAACCACAAAGTTTATATAAAAAGTACGTAATATCCTTATTTAAAATATAACAAAATCTATTAAGCAGTAAAATATTTTCAAGAAATTTGAAAAACACTTGAATGTAACTTATAAAAAAAACTATAGATGGCACACTTTGAAGCACAACCGCGGTAATTTTAATGATACTAGTGAAAATTGTGCAAACTAAGTCAAGCAAATAAGAAAATGCTGAAAATGGAAACTCACCTTTATCCGCGACGCAACCGCGTTCTTCAGCACTGTCACATGCGACCCTTCTGACACCGACTTGAACAGTGCCTATTTTCTTTTCAGCCGCCACATGCAGCAATATTCAGACCACAAACAACCTGAACTTACAACCCGCCTACGGATCCCAGGGGGTTAAAAGGCCGGCGATCAGTGGTAGCTGGGTCGAGTTGAAAATGTTTCATTGGCGCTCGTAATGAGGGAGCTTACTCGTGATTGGTCGTGCCCTGGCTTTGTTCACCCTTTCGACCTGTCACTGAACATTGCTTTTTTTACCTCTTTCGTACAACACGAACCCGCAGTTATGATATATATTATAGATAAGCTTGGAAAAGCTCAACTTTTATTATTGATGGCAGTAATTTGTCATTATTGAGTTATATAGCTTGTCTCTGTGATAATGGAGCTTTACGAATTATTTAGTTTGTTGAACTAATGATGGAACTCTTCGAGATGGCCTCCAAAAGCTTAATGGACTTTCGTGTTATTTTTACGATGTTCCATATTTTAAAGCCATCTACGTGTCAAACGTGTTCAGGATTACTTTTTTTCAACTGGTTATTAATTTTCTATGATATTATACATACCTACAAATGCTATCTTTGATCGCTTTTTTATTGGAAGTTGTTTTCATTCATAATACTTTTAACATGAAAGAGTTTGTCTTAAATGAAAGTAGTCGTCGTGAAGATATTTTGCTGTTTATGCTTTGTGGTTCTTTTCTAAGGAATATAATTTGTTATTATAACAAAAAATGACCATATAAAATGGATTAGAATTTAGGTTAGCTGTGAAATCACTTTCTGAGATGACGTCAACAATTTTGTGACAGCTATGAAAGTTTTAACTTTGATATTTTCCAATAGATGTTGAAAATATATTCCACATTTCGAGAAAATTTTCAGAGATAAACGACAAAATATATAAATTGGTTCTAGCAATTATTTTTGAAAAGGGTTCATTATGTAACTCTGACATAATCTATGGAATTTATTTGATGATCACACTTCATTTTCTTAGAATACATATACTTGTAGATAAAATTAAAAGTAACGGTATACCGTAAAGACAAATTGGTCTAATGTTATTTATACAGAACTTCCTTCGCTCCTGAAATACAGTCGAAGAAATACAGCTTCTCTAAAAAATTATAAAATTTAATTTTGCGAATGTTTTGTGATCACTCCTGTAAGTTAAAATGTGTTAAGGTACATGTTGTGTGTACATTTCTAGTGAGTTTTCCCATAACAAAATTATATGATGACGTTATCTACATTTTAACAAGGACACGTATATCAATTTGAATACATCAATGTAATACTAGTAATGTATACTCAAATTTTCGGAAAAATTTCTGATTTGATCAGTTAAAGTAGACATTCATTACTTTTTTTGGGTGATCCTGAGTAAGTAATTCTAAAAAATATGAATGCATTAACTACAAGTAAAAAATTGATCGAAAGTTGTTTCGACAGAACTTCCCTCGCTCATGAAGTACAATGAAACATATCCAGATTTTTTGAGTTGAGTTTTTTCTTTACATAGTTTTCTGATGACGTCATCAACATTTTTGCAAAGACACGTAGATCAACTTGGATTGGTGCAGTGTAATACTAAAAATAACAGCATTGTATTTCCAGAATTTTCTGGGAAAATGAAGTGAGCCGTTCCTGATTTAATCAATAAAATAAATTGACTCATTCATTAATTTTTTTAAGCCACCTGCCATCTATAAAATATGAATGCAATAAAAAATTGCAAGTAAAAAATCATCATATTTTGCACATTTTGGGTAGAATTTATTCGGCAAAATTTTGAGATGACGTCAACATTTTTTGGGGGGAATAAACAGATAGGTATATTTTCATTAACAACTACCATGCTTGCAATAACTTTAAAACATCATGAAATCCAAGATTTCAAAGCACTCGGTTTTGCAGTTCCTGATTAAATCAATAAAGTAAATTCACGCATTCATTAATTTTTTGAGTCACCCTGTATAAGCAAATCCATAAAATGTGAATGGAATAATAAATCACAAGTATAGACTCATCATATTTCTACATTTTAGATAGGATTTATTCAGCAAAATTTTGAGCTGAAGTCATCAACATTTTGGAGAGGATAAGCAAATAAATATATTTTGATTAAAAATTTGTCATGCTTATCATAACTTTAAAACATCTGCAAGATTTCAAAGCATTCGGTTTTGCAGATTCAAAATTAAATTGCAAAATGTTGTTTTATAATTTTGATTTTTTTTTTCAAAAATCTGGACGTTTTGGATAAAAACTCAACACGGCGTCATAAACTACTTTTGTAGGACTATGTTATTTTTTACAATTTAAAACCCAATTACTACGTACAAGTTTCAAGTGACGTCATCACATTATTGGTGGGGATGATTAGAAAAATTTTGGTTAGTGTTTTATCATCTACATGAGATTCCTAATATAAATAGAAAATTTGACAACAATCGGACCAGTAATTTCGGAGATTATCTGTCTAATAAAAATCCGGGACGGAAGACAGACGGACAGACGGACAGACGGACAGACAGACAGACGGACGGACAGACAGACAGGCAGACACAGACGGAAACGGGAGACTTATTTCATCGTACTCTAGTAGGAGTCATGAAAGGTCAAGAAAACGTAAAAGTTGAAGAGTCGGTCGGCGGACTCGATTACAATACTTTCTTCGCTTACGCTCGAGCAGTAAAAATGATAATATTCGCATATTTAAGATTTATTCGGCGAAATTTTAAGACGGCATCATCAATTTTTTGGAGGGGGTAAACAAATAAATTTTGATCGCGGTTATGGTAACCTTAAAAAGTTTGTAAAATTTCAGAACATTCCTATATTATTTTATATAATTTAAAGAACATTTACTATTGTAAATTTTGAAGGTGACGTCATCCTGTTGGTGGTGGAGATGATGTCAAAATATGTTTTACCATGTTTTACGATTTTCCTAACATACATATGTTTCAATTTGACACACTAAACGTCATTATCTCGGTTATTACCACAATTTTGACAAATATATAATTTTTGAATTTTAGTGGTAATGAAAATTTAAAATTAAATTTACTTAACAATGTTTTGAAATGGCTTTATGAATTTCCTGAAGGTATTTTACCACCGTAAAATCCTCTTAAAACTTTAAAGTAATCAGATCGTAGTTTTATCAATTATCTATCCAATATAACTAACAGACAGCCAGAGACACGATAATATGATATTATTGGAGATACTTTTTACCTACCCGTCTGAAGTCTGTCGACAATCACATGCTAGATATATAAGATGGGAAACATTCATTTTCGTATTCTACGTACTTTAAAATACGAAAAATTTCTCAAAAATAAACACTCATCAAAATGGCAACCATTTGGAAACAAAAACTGTATAAAATTTTTACACAAAACAAAAATCAAGTACCCTTTAAGAATATTTTTGAAGCATTACAACTTTTTGAAAATACGTCATCATTTTTACTTTCAGACGAACGACTAGTTTCATGTTTTCGAGACATGTCATAAACCCTACAACACGAAACAATAGGTCCCCTTTTCCATCTGTCTGCCTGTCCATATTTTTATTAAACAGATAATCTCCGAAACCACTGGACCGATTGTTGTAAAATTTTAGTGTATGTTTTTAATGTCGTGTAACAAAATTTGTCTAATCACTCGTATCAACAATTTGATGATGCCATTAATATTATTTAAATGTCATACAATAATATACTACACTTGTGATTTATGAATCCGCCTTGAGTTTTTCTCTAGGCATTCAAATTTTCGCAAAAAAATCACAACAAAACTAAGTACTGAGGTTCTGCTTGTCGCATTCGGACTTGTTTGTTTTTTTTCTTACGCTGTGACTAGTAGATATTATCTATACTGTTACTTTAAAGAGATTAACACAAAATTACTCAAAATCAAATTGTATAATTTTTCAAAGAAGCGGGATTTGTTGTACTTACCTACTGCAATTCAGAAGCTCGGTAGGTAAGTTCTATCGAAATAACTTTAGACCTCTTCTTTGATGAGGACAAATATATGTATTAATTGCGAGTTTTGCAAAATAGTGAGGATTTTATTTTCATTTATCATAAAGGTATACACAAAGAAAATAAAGTGGAGTCGACGTAATGACAAAGAAAAAGAAATATGAATAAAACCAAACTACTGCTGTATACTCCAATTTTGAACATATAGTAGAGGTTCCAAACTGAAACTCTTGTAGAGCCCCTAAGGTAGAAAATGCGTTACATAAAAAAAAAAAAGTATTGTGTTGAAAAGGATTTCTGCAACCAAATTAAAGATTTTCAAAATTTAAATAAGGTTAGTTTAGTAATTATAATGCATTGTCAATTTTACCAAAAATGTAGTTTAAAATTTGTGGTCTATGATCCAATACATCTGATACACTAATTGAATTTGGTGATAGTGGAACTTCTTTCAACAAAACCATGTTGAAATGGAGTAAGGAAACTTTTAAAACCAAAATAAATACGGATATAAAGTACGAATTCCATGATTTTCCAAAATATTTTAGATGAAAATATAGACAAAAATTAGTGTGCTAAGAAATTCTAAAACAAGATCGACAATCATACATAAAAACGAGAAATAATTGTTGATAAGAGTTTTTGAAAATCGTGTATTTAGAATGAACATGGAATACATTACACTTTTATCATGAAATCTCTGTAGCTACGAGTATATCTATGTTTTCTGTTTTTTATCTGTGACTATACAGTTCTGAACATATTAACAACTCACCAAAGTGACCGAAACTTCCAAGATGGCTAAAAATTTGGTGAAAAAATGTTGAAAACACATACAACAAAACTGATGACAAAACAAAGAAAAAGTTAAAAAATTGTTTAGATTATTCTTAAAATTAGTTTTAAGAAAAGAAGTGTTGTGCAAAAGAGTATATTACTTGTCAAACAGTAATTTTAAGCGCTAACTTAGGGGACAATATATTGTCAAACTTTTATTTATATTGAC